CAAGTGCTTTAGCCACTATGCTACCAGAGCTCCCAGCCCTGACATAGGTGGACATATTACAGAAAATGCAGTACTGATGAGGAAACTTCATGACAAGGTCAAAAAGAGTCAACCATAGATAGTAGATTAAAGAAAAGTATATAAATATGCAAAGGGTGTGTGGGGGGGATGTGTGGGGATGTGTGTGTTTGCACTTACGCACAGAAATATTACTACAGGTGTCTCTTTGTAGCAACAGAAGGCCCAGTGATCTTTGTTATTCTGAGGTTTTTGGTGGGAAGAATGGCGTGTGGTTTGAAGTGAGGAAGCGTGCTTACAGGTTAGCAGGAGGGCACCCACCATCCTAGCGCGTGGCAGCAGGTAGTCATTCGTCTGCAGTGACAGTAGGTTGAGTTAAAGGGGAAAGAAGGAAAATAATAGTTTAGAACACTTAGACTAATAGTTTTGAATCAGAAAAATAAATCAAATTTAGGTTCTTTGCCCTTTAGTTTTTAGAAGAAAAAGAAACTTACCTTGGTGAAAATAATACTGTAAATACTGTACCCTACTAGTAGCTGTTTCAGATTCACTTAGGCTTGAGTGCAACACATGCAGTCTTTGCCTGCATAATTATTGTTGTGTTTGTAGTTTCCCTTCAGAGGTAACTGTAGCTTTATGTTTTCAGCGATGTTGAGAATGACAGAAGACCACGTACTTCCTGAGCTGAATAAGGTAGTGTTTATTTTAAGGTCATCCAGAAGGTCAAAACATGAATTGCAATGGGTTTTTGCATATTTCTTTCCATCTTACAGAATACCTTATTGTGGTGTCTAAATGTATAATTTTCTTGTTTGCATAAGATTTTGTAATCTATAAATTTAGGATCCTTGAATTACTTACTTTAACTTTCTTAAATCTTAATTAAAAGCCTTTTCATTTTCCTTGAAAATCTAGGACGTAGCTCTTAGTACCTGTGTTGATGTCTGGTAAGCAGCAGTTTCTTTTAGACCATAAGCACTGTGACAAGTGGCAGTGGAAGATCCTTCAAGGAAGATTATACAGCAGAATTCCCACTTGATTTCTGTGGCTCACCCATCCTTACCCCTGCCCCAACTGTCTCCTTCAGAGCAAGCAGGCAGTTTTGAGCCTGAAAATAGTGGGAATAATAAGATGAGGTGGACGGATGAGCATGGGATCCTTCACTGTGTAGCTTTTAGGCTGAGATACTGTGCCAGGTCTTTTGAGCTCCTGAAGACTGCCTTTGCACACTAGGAAAGTTTCGTATGTTGGCAGTTTTACTGACATCACTATTAGCTTTGTTGCAGGAGGTAAAATGTGTTCGTTGTCGGAAGGAAGGGAGCTTGATGGGCCAGGTTTTGAGGGCTGAGGGCTGAGGGCTGGGGTTCAGTGAAGGCAGGGTCACTGCAGGCAGCACAAGCTGACCCCAAAGCAATAATGCTATTTAGTCGGAGCCCTCGACCGAGGCCGCGGTTGCTTACCTAGATTTACTTACAGTACCCCACTCCCAAGGAAGGGACCTGCACACAGTCTTAGCACAAGATACAGAATAGTCTGTGAATAACCGGAAGCCCATAGGAGTTCCATAGCTATTGGATTAGCTGACTGGAAAGGGGGTTTGACGTGCTTCCCGAGGACCGGGCTCTGCACAGCTGCATCATTCCCTGGATTTCTGCTGATGCTGCTTTAAGGAAACTTGCCTGCTTCCCACATGGCTTCAGTGGATAGTAAAAAAGTCACAGTTACTATGACTTGCTTAATATTTCTTCCTCTAACTGGGAAGCTTTCTTTATCTTGATTTGTTTCTCTTTGTTTCCGGTAGATGACTCAGAAAGATATCACATTCGTTGCTGACTTTCTTACTGAGCATTTCAATGAGGTGGGGCACTGACGCTTTCAGTAAGACTGTTTTTTTTCCAATGTGATAAACCTAGGTGATGGTGAGAAGTGATAAAATTTAATCCGGTTTAGTGGGAGTTCTTAGCAGTTACGTTTTTTAAACTATTGAAGTAATTAATGGCAGGCCTGATAAATGAACATCAAGGCTGTACCTGAACTTCTATGCCTGTATGTTTTACAGTCCATAAAAGTAAAGAGGAACTGCCACTAATAGTTTTCTTTAAAAATAAAGATTATGATTTCAATTCAAGATTTTCTTTCTCTTTTGTGAGTTGACTTAAACTCTGTTCATTCTCTCCAGGCGCCAGACCTTTACAATCGAAAAGGCAAATACTTTAATGTTGAAAAAGTTGGTCAGGTACGTGCTTGGTTTGAACTTCATTACTATTACTCTTTTAATTTTTAAGAACTAATTTTTCAACTTCAGTATTCATCTTTATTATTCAAAATTCATGCAAAGTGTACAATGCTAAGTTATGCAGCAGCCCTGCCCTTGCAGTAAAATAATCAAACAGCAGAAGTTTTTAAACTTTATGGTCTCAGAACCCATTTACATTCTTAACAGTTCTTGAGGACACCAAAAATCTTCTTTTTATGTGAGTTGTACCTGTTGATGGTAGATCCTATTGTTGTTGTTATTTTTAGGTGCCATTGAGTCATCTCCAACTCATAGCGACCCTGTGTACAGCAGAACGAAACACTGCCTGGTCCTGTGCCAGCCCCATGATCTTTGCTGTACCTGAGCCCATCATTGTAGCTACTGTGTCAGTCCGTTTTGTTGAGGGCCTTTCCCTCTTTCATTGACCTTTCACTTTACCAAGCATGATATCCTTCTCCAGGCAATGGTCTCTTCTGACAACATAACCAAAGCAGATGAGATGAAGTCTGGCCATTCTTGCTTCCAAGGAACATTCCGGCTGTACTTCTCCCAGGACAGATTTGTTAGTCCTTTTAGCAGACCATGGTACTTTAGCATTCTTTGCAAACACCACAACTCAAAAGCATCAACTCTTCTTTGGTCTTCCTTATTCATTGTCAAGCTCTCACATGCATAGGAGGCAACTGAAGATACCATGGCTTGGGTCACGTGCACCTTTGTTTTCAGGGAGGTATCTTTGCTCTTCAGCACTTGAAAGAGGTCTTATGCAGCACATTTGCCCAATGCTATATGTCGTCTGATATCTTGACTGCTGCTTCCATTGACGTTGATTGTAGAAGCAAGTAATAAGAAGTCTTTGACAATTTCAGTCTTTTCTCCATTTATCGTGATGCTGCTTATAGGTCAAATGGTGAGGATTTTTGTTTTCTTTATATTGAGGTGTAATCCATACTGAAGACTGTAGTCTTCATTCTTCATCAGTAAGTGCTTCATGTCATCCTCACTTTCAGCAAGCAAAGTTGTGTTGTCATCATATAGCAGGTTGTTAATGAGTCTTCCTCTAATCGTGATGCCACATTCTTCTTCATATAGTTCAGCTTCTTGGTTTATTTGGTCAGCATACAGACTGAATAAGTATGGTGAAAGGATACAACCCTGATGCACTCCCTTCCCGATTTTAAACCATGTTGTTGTTGTTATGTGCCATTGAGTTGGACCCAACTCATAG